AAAAAAAAAAAAAAAAAAAACAAGGGAGTTTATAGTCAGGTGACTGGCCACACTTTTTGGGGATACCAGGGACTGAACCCGGGACCTTGCGCTTGCGAGGTAGGCAGTGCAACTTCTAAGTCCCCAGCCCTACCCTGGCAGGTGTCATACAAAAGGTGTTGTACAGGGACGAGGGTGGCAGCTGGTATGAGTCTCTAGAGCTGCGGCCACACTGGCTTGGTTGCTGTTGGCCACTGAAGCGCACCTGTCTGCTCAGTCTATAGATGGTTACTGAGCACCTATTAGGTGCTAGGTGCTGAACGGATTCAGCTGCTGACAGGACCTGCCCCGTTGGGGAGAACCATGGGATGGAGTTGTGACTGCCCCTCTCTCCCCAGGAGTCTGTGAGGTCAGCTGCCAGAACCGCGCCGGCTACTCGGCCCTCATGCTGGCCGCACTCACCTCTGCGGAGCCAGAGGACATGGCTGTGGTCCGGAGGCTCTTCAGGATGGGTGACATCAATGCCAAGGCCAGCCAGGTGCGCACTCACCCCACTTGGGCTCGGTGTGGGGGAACCATTTCCACTGGGGGAGTCCACCCCAGCCAGCCTTTCGCCCGTCCCCCAGACTGAACAGACGGCCCTCATGCTGGCCATCAGCCATGGCCGCCAGGATATGGTAGCAGCCCTGCTGGAATGCGGAGCTGATGTGAACGCACAGGACGCAGATGGTGCCACAGCACTCATGTGCGCCAGCAAGTGCGGGCACCTGGACACCGTCCGGCTGCTGCTGGCCCAGCCAGGCTGTGACCCTGCCATCCTGGACAGTGTGAGCCAGAACCCTAGGGCTGGCTGGGGGAGGGGTGCCCAGGCTGCTCTGAACCTGACGCCTGTCCGCTGACCCTCAGGAGGGCACTAGCGCCCTGGCCATAGCCCTGGAGGCGGAGCAGGATGAGGTGGCCGCTCTGCTCCACGCCCACCTGAGCTCCAACCAGCCTGGTTCCCAGGTGAGCACAGCTCCCAAAAACAGCCTTCCCAGCTACCAGCCAAGTTGGAGGAGGCCCCCCTTCCTTCACAACCCCAGAGGTGGGGAACCTGTCCATTCTCCCACATGGCTGGGACTGGATTTTAACCTGAAGATTGCCTGTGAGGCAGGCACACCTCCAGGCCAAGAGGCCTGAGGTGAGAAATAACCTGACTTTGGTACGAGGAGGAGTGTCATCCTGCGTCACAGTATGCCAGCAGCAGGGGCGGGCAGAATAAACCTGATGGGGACAACCTTATTCATAGGCCAAGGATAACCATGTTCTCAGCACTTTAAGGTTATCTAGCCAGGCATGGTGGCACATCCCTGTAATGCCAGCCCTTGGGAGGCCGAGGCAGGAAGATGGCCAGCCTGGATTACATAAAAGACCCTGTCTCGACAACAAAAAAATCACTTAACCTCTGCCTCCCTGACCCCATCCTATACTCACCCAGCCTCCACAGATGTGGGAATGGTCAAGGGCCTCTTCCAAGTCAAACAGGGGCAGAGCAGAGCCCTGATTCAAACCAGACAGCCTGGTTCTGAGTGAAGGGTGACCTTCTTTGGGATTGGGATGATC